CTAGCAACAACAAATGTTGGTGAGGGTGTGGAGAAAAAGGAACTCTTCTGCACTGTTGGTGGGAGTGCAAACTGGTCCAACCACTATGGAGAGCTGTGTGGAGATTTCTGGACCTACTAAACATAGAGCTTCCATATGATCCAGCAATTCCACTCCTAGGTGTTTACCCAAAGGACACAGAAACATTAATTCCAAAGAACACCTGCACCCCTATGTTTATAGCAGCACTATTTACAATAGCTAAGCTTTGGAAACAGCCCAAATGCCCAAAAATAGATGACTGGATCAAGAAGATGTGGTACATATATACCATGGAATATTACTCAGCATTCGAAAAAGATAAACACATGCAATTTGCAGCAACATGGGTGGCGCTGGAAGGGATCATGCTCAGCAAAATAAGCCAGAAAGAAAAAGAAAAATACCGGATGGTCTCACTCATAGCAGGAATCTAGAAAACTTAAATAAGGGACCAGGAAAATGAATAACTATAAGAAAGTGAAAATCAAAATCAACAAAAAACTATGAACCAGAGACACTTTTTGGGGGGGGGGGGCGGGAGGGGAGGGATTGGGGTCAGAATGGGGGGGTTGCAATTGTATGGGGAATATAAAAATAAATTTTTTTATTTTTAAAAAAAAAAAAAAACTTCCAGGCCTCTCTGCTGGGCAAGGGGTTAAGTTTCAGCACTATGAAGCTATCACAAAGCCACTGCAGCACGAGTTCAATCCCAGGCCATGGAGCCAACCCGCAGGGCACAGCAGACCTTTGCAGCGCCCGCTGCTCCCCTCAACAGTGTCTTCGGTCCGTTTGCCTGTTCTGCTCCCTGCTCTGTCTCTGGTGAATTCTCTCACTCTCCCGCACTTCTGACTGTACCCCAGTTTTTGTATAAATAAATAAATCTTAAAAAAAAAAGATGTATACAACTTATAATTCTATTACACTTCTGAATAATGGAAAGAAATTCCTGCATGCTGTATAAAGGGATACACATAGTAGGCATTATCGGATACTGGAGATTGGGACGCAAGCTAGGTAGATCCGCCTGTTCTGTTCCCCACTCTGATAAATCCTCTCACCCACCCACCCCACTGCACCTCTGGCCTACACCCCAGTTCTTGTAGGCATAAATAAATAAAAATAAATCTTAAAAAAAAAAAAAAAGCTTTCAAGATGTAACTGAAGTTTAATTTACCATGACTCGGTGGTCAGTTTTCCCGTCCACTTCTTCATTAGAGTTTACCTTCAACTGAGGAAGGATTCGTGAGATAATAGAACCACTAACACTTTGTAATCTCATGAATTATCATTGCAAACTTTAATTCTCTACAATCTAGAGTCAAAGACCAAAAGAACCCTTTAAGGAGTCATTTGAGTTCCATTATGAGTTTAGATTATTGCTATATTAGAATTTAGTAATACAGTTAGGCAAGAATGTGTGGTCATGGCTTGGCTTAGGGAGGAAGGAAAACATGTTAAAAATACTATCATAACCAAAAAGAACAGGGTTTCCTTTTCAGTTAAGAAATCAGGTTATTCTAAGACAGCAAATGAAGGCATCAGTAGAAAGGTTTAAGTAATAAGCCCATCACTGCACTGGAGCCCAAGGACAGAGAGGAAATCCATGCAGGTGAAGGAGGGACAAACTGTGGGGTATTTGGGACAGTCTCAGGAAGTGGCATAAATGTAGGTGAGTATAAAGAATAAAATATTGTTCCTATTTAGTTTGCCGAGTGTCTAACTTGGTTTTGATTTAAGGTTGTTTGTGTCTGTAGGGCAAGAACATGTCTTTTCAATTAATATTGTGCACTGTACGTTGTTAATGTCATACACATGGGCACTTAATTAGGTTTCAAGGCAGGAGTTGCTTGGAGCTAATTCAGCTGTCCTCCTGAGAGCTGCAGTGTGGTTTAAATCTGTGTTAAATGCCTGTGGGCTGGCTGCAACTGAATCGCCCAGGAACTTGAAAAGCAAATTCCCAGGTCCACCCCCAAGGAATTCTGACTCACTGCACAAAAGTAGGCCCATCCCAGGAATCTGTATCTTTTGGAAAGCTCCCCAAGTGAGTCTAATCATATCCAGGCTTGGGAAATTACAGTTTTATAGGCCATCAAAGCCTCTGCAATAGAATTGGAAGCAACATCTTTGAAGTTAGTTACTCACAAAATGTGAGCTGTATATGCTGGGTCACACTATAAATTTCATTTAATTTAGTAATAAGTTAATGTGTTACATTGTCTATTGTGTTGTTGTGTACTGTGTTATATTTTGGTGTGCTATTCCTACTCTGCTTACATTCCAATTTCCTTTCCCTTTACATTCACTCTATTAATATATGTTTTAAAGTATGTATATATTCTTAAATATATACATAAAATGTTATGTTGTTGTGTTTATGTACATTGTACAAATATCTAAACGATGTTGTGCTGATCCTCTTACTCTGTTTCTTTCCTCACTTAATTTTCAAGAATGTTTGCATGGCTTTATGTACATCTAGTTCATTGTTTCTAAATGCTGCATAGTATTGCAGTGATTTCATCCACCAAATATTCCTCATCCATTTCCTCAAATGTGAACACCTAGCTTGCTTCCAAATCTCCACAGTCTCAGATAATGGCTACTATGTGTATCCCTTTATACAGCATGTGGGAATTTCTTTCCATTATTCAGGAGTGTAATAGAATTATAAGTTGTATACATCTTTTTTTAAAGATTTATTTATTTATACAAGAATTGGGGTACAGTCAGAGGCACGGGAGGGTGAGAGAATTCACCAGAGACAAGAGCAGGGAGCAGAACAGACAGACGGACCAAAGACACTGCTGAGGGGAGCAGCGGGCGAGGCAGGAGAGGTCTGCCACACCATGTGGGTTTCTCCCTGGTCGGCCGGCAATCAAACTGGCACTGCAGAGGCTGCGGGCAGCTTCACAGCTCTATGCTCAACCTACTGCATCTTGGTTTTACTACTTTTCAAACTAGCTATATTAGTGTACCCTCTCCATTTATAGTTCACAAAGAATTTCTATCATCCTACACTGTCATTTCTATCATTCTAGATGACTAGGGAGCTTGAACATATCTCTACATAGATTTGTTAGCTATTACAGCTTTGCTTTTGTAAATTGCCTGCTCCATGGATTTGAAAAATAAAAATACTTCTTTAGTCCATTGAATGATACAAGTTTCTATTTAACTACTCTAAGAAATTATGGACAATTAAAGATATAATTGCTGCTGCTGTTAATTTACTTTTTCATTGGTGAAATAATATTTAAATCCTTTACCCTTTTTTCCCATTGCCATCCCTTATACAATTGTAACTCTTTCTCCCTTCCCCTCTGCTTAACCTCAGGAGACTCACTTTGTTTTTTAGTGTCTGCTAGTTTTTACAAGCATTTTGCTTTATCAAATCATCTACTAGATAAACATCCAATATTTGTCTTTGACACTGTGACTTGCTTCACTACACATAATTCTGATGCTGGTGTGCACTGTTAATTTAGCCCTTGAACCACCACCACAGGTTCTTGTCCCAGGAAACTATAAAAAGGAATTTGCAGACATTTTAGATAAGTAAGTAGAGAGAAACAAACTTTGTTTAAGAAAGTAAAGAAAAGTTTATTTAAAGAAAGAAAGTAAGGACTCCCAGGTATGCTATTCTTTAGAGTTTACCTCCCCTGTCCAAAGTCTTATTCTCTCAAGTTTTACTGTCTTTGTTTAGTCCTCCTGTACTTACTGACCTCATCTCTGGAGTATGGTTAGTACTTCTCAGAATTTACTGTCCTTATCTCGGAAGCCTCTTTAACTCTCCCGAGTCCCTGAAGCTGCCTAATTAAGCCTAACTTGCTCTGAGACTCAATTCCTTCAACTCCTTCCATTTTGCTATAAATTGAAACATTTCATATTTTCATTGGCTGAATACTATTCTATTGTCTGGATATAACACATCTTCTTAATCCAATCTTCTATGAGTGAACACTTTTTGCATGCCTTAGCTATTGTACATAATGCTGCAATAAACATTGTAAAGCATATAATTTTTTTCAGTTCATGGTTTCATGTTCCTTGGATAGATACATAAGAATGGGACTGCTGGGTCAAATGGTATTTCCATTTTCAGGTTTTATAAGGTAAATCCAAATTTCTTTTGAAAATGTCTGCAGAGGTTACATTCCCACCAACTAGTAGGGTTCCTCTTTCTCTGCATTCTCTTTAGCAATTGTTACTGCGGGTCTTTTTACTATGTACCATTCTCACGTATTTGAGATGACATCTTATTCTGGCTTCCACCTGCATCTCCCTCATTAAAAGTGATGGTGAACATTTATCCATGTGTCTGTTGGACTTCTGAATTTCCTCTTTGTTGAATTGCCTATTCAAACCCGCTACTCACTTATTGAGTGTTTTATTGTTAAATTGAAAAAGTTTTTGTATATCTAGGATATTAACCCCTTGTCAATTGTGTAATGTCTGAATATTTTCTCCCATTCAATTGGATGTCTTTCTAATCTACTTATATTTTCTTTCTCCGGGGGTTGTTATTTTAATACTAGACAACCCCCAAAGTCACTGACTTATAACCTTGTTCAAGAATATACCATTCACGGGCCTCCCCGGTGGCGCAGCAGTTGAGAGCTGGGTTGCGAAGCTGCCCGCAGCCTCTGCAGCACGGGTTCGATCCCCGGCTGCTCCCCGGCCGCTCCCCGGCCACCAGAGGAGGGGCCCACATGGTGCGACAGACCTCTCCTGCCGCCCGCTGCTCCCCTCAGCAGTGTACTTCGGTCCTTCTGCCTGCTCTGCTCCCTGCTCTGACTCTGGTGAATTCTCTCACCCTCTCGTGCTTCTGACTGTACCCAGTGCTTGTATGTATGTATAAGTAAACAAACAAATAAATAAATAAATATTTTTTAAAAAAAGAATATACCATTCACATTTAATCTATTTTTATTATATGTGTTTGCAAATTTGCCTACAAAGCCTGTTTCTCATATTTCTAGACTCCTGTTTCCTCAAGGCCAATGATTTGACTCACAGTCTCTCCTCATACCTAAAGGAAAGTAAGTAAGCTCTCCTGCTCATCTGTCACTTTGCAGGTGCCTCTCTTTTTCTTTCTACTTTTCCTAATAAACCTGTAAGGAAAAAAAAGGAATAATAATAATAATTTTTAAACATTATTCGCCTTATATTATCCCATTGAAATTATAAAGTCTGTCAATTTAAAATAATAAACTTTTAATTATACTTACAATCAAAAGTTTCTACCTTTTATTGGGTTCTAAACAGGTTGGTTTGTTTATTTTTCGCTTGATGTTACTATTTATTTAAGCTTATTCTTGTTTTACTCTTGCTTTGGAAACGAGTTTTGGTCTCATTTTGTTTTATAACACTTTATTTTGTCCAGGATTCCAGAAACTAAGTAGTATGCTAGCCCCAGTTCCCCACTAATTTATTATTTGACCTGGAAAATTCATTGAATACTCCTTTGGGACTTGATTTTGTTACCTGAAATATAAGGAAGTTGGACTGTGATATCTGTTCCAGCTATGAGTTTCAGAATCAATGTTCACATGTTCAGAACTCACACTAGGACTATTGCATGGTCAACATGTTAAGTGTTAGCCAATCTAGCTTGATCTTTACAGTATGTATTGTGGATAGCCAGTAATAACTAGATTATTCATATCAGGTAGCCATTTATTTATGGCAAAAAATGAAATAGTTTAGATATAGATTTTGACCTTTTTTTTTTTTTCAAACTCAAAGCAATTCTAATGACACCCAACATGAATTCACGAACTTCTCTACAGTGGTAGAGCATTTGATTGCATAAACCTTTCTGTGCTTCCAAATGGGCAAATGTAAATTTAGGTAATAATAGAATTACCTTCACAGGGTTATGAGAATTACAAAAGAGAATGCATGTGGGCCTCCCTGGTAGTGCAAGGGTCTAAGTCTCAGCACTATCGAGCTGTCACCAGCCACTGCAGCACGAGTTTGATCCCCAGCTAGGTTGGTGTCCCATGTGGTACAGCAGACCTCTCCTGTCTCTCCCATTGCTCCCCTGAGCAGTGTATTTTAGTGGATTAACCAAGAATGCATATAGCACAATGTCAGTGTTCCACAAATGCTTGCTATTATTTAAATGTCATTTCCACTTTATATCTTCTGCTAAGTATTCTCTTAAAATTTAACATTATTGAATCAAAGTTCTTTGCCTATATAGTCAAAAATAAATTAGAAGAAATGTATTATGCCAAGCTTTTTTTAATTGATTCTAAATTAGCCACATTTAGCTATTGCCATATTATGTTTTGTGTTATAAGTTAATGTTTCATTTTAATCTAATATCTAGAATAACCTGAAAACAGAATCTATATTTTATTACTTAAATATTAGCAAAGAAGTAATGGGAGAATACCCAACCTGGAGATCCTATTTTACTATATTTAGAGTAATAATTTTCTTTTTTAAAAAAAAAAAATTTTGTTTATTTATTTATACAAGCACTGGGTACAGTCAGAAGCACGGGAGGGTGAGAGAATTCACCAGAGCCAGAGCGGGTAACAGAACAGGCAGACTGATGAAATACACTGCTGAGGGGAGCAACGGGTGAGACAGGAGAGGTCTGCGCGCCATGTGGGACCCTCACCAGAGGCCGGGGATCGAACCAGCACTGCAGAGGCTGTGGGCAGTTTCGCAGCCCAGCGCTCAACCGCTGCGCCACCACGGGAGGCCCAAGAGTAATAATTTTCTTATAGTCTTCTTTTTTTTTTTCCCAGTCTGCCCTAAGTGGGCAAAACTTTGTAAAAACCACAGTGAGAAGAAATCTGTCTTGATGCTGATCATCTGCAGCTCTGCCATCCGAGCCCTGGAGCTCATCAGGTTGGAAGCATTGCCTAATCTGTTTCATAAAGTTTACTGAGTGACTGATACCTGCAAAAGAATATGTTCTATATGAGGGAGATATAACAATAAACAACACTTTGTAATAGAGCCTCCTCTTCCATGGATACTTTGCAATGAGGGAAACAGACAATAAACAAGTAATAAGCATTATGTCAGGTAGTGATAGATTGTGCAAGAAAAATACAACATGGCAAAGGATTGAATGGATAGGATGGTCCTTTTTTTTTTTAATTTTATTTTTATATTCCCCATACAATTGCAACCAGGATGGTCCATTTTATTGTTATTTATTTATTTATTTATTTATTTATTTATTTATTTATTTTAAAGATTTATTTATTTATTATTACAAGCACTGGGTACAGTCAGAAGCGCGGGAGGTTGAGAGAATTCACCAGAGCCAGAGCGGGGAGCAGAGCAGGCAGAAGGACCGAAGTACACTGCTGAGGGGAGCAGTGGGCGGCTGGAGAGGTCTGAGTGCCATGTGGGATCCTCCTCCGGTGACCTGGGAGCAGCTAGGGATCGAACCGGCATTGCAGAGACTGCGGGCAGCCTCGCAACTCAGCGCTCAACCACTGCATACCGGGGAGGCCCTGGATGGTCCATTTTTTTTTATTATAAATTTTATATTCCCCATACAATTGTGACCCCCTTATTTTGACCCCAATCCCTCCTCTCCCTGTCCCCCGCCCTCCATAGAGTGTCTCTGGTTCATAGTTGTTTGTGGATGGTCCATTTTAAAGGGTGATCCCAGAGCACTTATCTCAGGAGGTGACATTTGAGCAGTGACTTGAACAAGGTAAAGAAGAGAGCCATACAGATATCTGGAAGAAGAACATTCCAGGCAGAGGTATCCCCAAGTATCAAGTAAAAGATTGTTTTTTTATGCCCTCTTTATACCCAAAGTGTTTCCATATAAGAAAAGCTCCTTCTACATAGTAGATTAAAGAGGGAAGGGAGGCTTCTCTGATTAAAGGACATAACCCTCTTTCTTCCCACTGTCAGCTCATCCCCAGCTCCCCCTCACAGCAGCCATGGACCTTTGTTGATGCCTTGGGCTCCAGAGTTCAGCCTGACATCATGCTTTTAGACATTTCTCACAGCAAAATTGTGCATGAGAACTATACTGCAAAATTTGAAGATAAACTCTGTACCATCAACCTGGAATACAGAAAGTGCTAGGCAGACCCAAATGTTTCAATAACTACTTAAGGAAACTTAAGTAGTTAACCATCTGTATGAGAGTTAGAATACAGCCCAGATATGTGCCTCAATAAAATGTCATCCCATTTTCATTCCAGTGTTGGGCTAATCTGAAAATCTGACAATGTTTTTTATATGTATATACACATATATACTTATATATAATAATCCGGAAGTAATCAGCATGGCCTGGGATGAGTGAATTTTTTTATTGACTAATCTGGTTTTTTTTTTTTTTTTTTTTTTTTTCATTAGATCGATGACCGCATTCAGAGGCAATGGCAAAGTTATAAAATTATTTGCAAAACACATAAAGGTAAGGACAGGCCTGTGGTTACTGGTAGGGGACATAAGGGGTTCTTCTGGACCTCAGCTTTTCCTCTTCAGCCTCTTCTCTTTATCTCAAACCAGCATTCTCTTTGGAGCTTCTTGATATTTAATAACCATCCTGGAATTCTTTGCATTCTGCTTCTGCATCCCCAGCTGCCCCCAGTGACTACTCCTCTATACTCGGGGATTCTTGTATTGAAGCAGAGGTTTGACCCCTCGATTCTTTGAAGATTTACCAGTTTTCTGAGGAACTGTTCTTCTATCTTGATCTTACCCTTCCTTACCCTGGAAATTTACCTTAAACAAGAGTAACCCCATTTACCATTTTCTTTTTACTTTATTAGCTTTTAGATAAAATGCCCTAAATTGGCCTGTGATTGCACTTCCTAATGACTTTGCTTTTCTTTATTCTTTTCCATGTTGGAATAGATCCAAGAACAAGTAAAGATGCTAGATAAGCGTGTTGTGCACCTGGGTGTTGGAACTCCAGGGAGGATTAAAGAACTCATTAAACAAGGTATGAAAAGAGCAGTGATTCTTTTTTTTTTTTTTAAATTTATTTATTTATTTATACAAGTACTGGGTACAGTCAGAAGCGTGGGAGGGTGAGAGAATTCACTAGAGCCAGAGCGGGGAGCAGAGCAGGTAGAAGGACCGAAGCACACTGCTGAGGGGAGCAGCGGGCGGCAGGAGAGGTCTGCACACCATGTGGGCCCCTCCTCCGGTGGCCGGGGAGCAGCCAGGGATCGAACTGGTGCTGCAGAGTCTGCGGGCAGCTTCGCAACCCAGCTCTCAACCGCTGCGCCACCAGGGAGGCCCCAAAGAGCAGTGATTCTTCTCCCCAGAGTTGTGAGAGTATTTGTCTTACCCTCATGTGAATTTGGGAAGCCATATTTGTGATGTGAATCCAGACTTCCATGTCAATTTCAGGAGTGGGGAACTTAGCTTTTTGTTCATAAAGCCAGCCAAATAAAATGCCTCAGGGAATGATAAGAACTGTGACAAAATGCATTAACACCTAAATACATTGAAATTCCAATTGTTTTGGAGTTGGAGTCCCCAAGGCTCCAATTCCATTTGAGTGCTGACATATAAAACATGTTGAGACAAAAAATGCAGTTTCAGGCTTCCCTGGTAGCCTAGGGAGTAAGTCTCAGTGCTATCACCTCTACAGCCTGAGTTTGATCCCCGGCCAGGGAGCTAACCCACATGGCACAGTAGACCTCTCCTGTCTCACCCTCTACTCCCCTCAGCAGTATATTTCAGTAAATCTGCCTGTTGTGCCTGTTGTGTCTCTGATGAATCCTCTCATCCCCTGCACTTCTTGTCTATACCCCAGTTCTTCTATGTAAAAATATTTTTAAAAATGCAGTTTCTAATAATGATATGCAGATATTCTAAAATATTTCCCCTAAATGCATTTCTCTTTTTGTACTTTACCCAGAAAGAAGTCCAAGCAACATCTACCAGTGGGTTTTTATAATCTGTTGACATTCTCAAAGCCAGTAACTTAAAAACCTACTAACCTGCTGATGCTTGTACTACCTGTTCTACTGCCAGACAGATGAAAATTTTCAATAATCATTTCAAAATCACTTATTTAATATAGTATTAGAACTTTGTTTTATAACAGTCTGGAGCTATTCCTGGACTTTTTATATATCTAAAAGCAATGTGTTCAACTTAATAACTTACGTAAAGATGGGCATTTGCCAGGAAACAAACAAAAGCTAAAAATACTGGTGTTTCTCTACAGATGAAAATCATACAAAGGTTAAATGGCCCACTATATACAGAAGTCTGTGCAATTACAAGCTTGGAGGCTCCAGATAAGAAAAGGAAACAAATATGTTTTGAGATCCTACTTGTACTTGGTGCTATCCTAGTTACCCTTACATATATCACTTAGTACTCACTGCATCCTTCCAGACTAGCATTCTTATTACTTAGGAGTGAAACCTGAAACTGTGGAGGGTTAAGTAGCCCTCCTAAGGTCGCTCTCTGTCTAGGCTTTCCTGATTCCAGAACATTTCCCCCTCAGGTGCTGATCCAGTTGAAGTGATAAATGTTTATAAAATAAAACTGACAATAGGAACCAGTAAAAACCAAACCCAAATAAGCATTTTTCAATCCTAAGGGAATTGAAATGAGGGACTCCCTGACTGACTGAATGAGCAGGGAAGGCTTAACAAAGGAAAGTGTCTTTAACTGATTTTTGAGGTATGGGGAGGATTAAAATAGGCAGGTAGATATTGCTGGTCTTTTTGAAATGGCTCATTCTCAGAGATATGAGATGGTATCTTATTGTAGATTTGATTTAACATTTCCTTTATGATAAATGATGATGGCATTTTTCATGTGCCTCTTGTTCATCTCTGTGTCTTCTTTGGATAAACATCTATTAACTTTTCTGTCCATTTTTTAATTGGGTTTTCTGTTGTTATTGTTGAGTTGTATGAGTTCTTTATAGATGTTGGGTATTGTTATATATTGTTAGATGTATGATGTGCAAATTCACTGTTCAGAAACTTTTTAGTTTGATATAGTCCCATTTGTTTATTTTTGCTTTTGCTTCCCTTGCCACTGTAGTAGAGTCTCCAAAGAGATCCCTGAATCCAATGTCATGGAGTGTTTTGCTTGTTTTCTGTGTATTTTATGGTTTCAGGTCATATGTGCTTGCCTTTAATCCATTTTGAGTTAATTTTTGTATATGGTGTGAGATGGTCATCTAGTTTCATTCTTTTGCATGTGGCTGTCCAGTTTTCCCAGCACCATTTGTTAAAGAGACTTAACTTTCTCTTTGTCTACTCTTGGCTTCTTTGTCATGATGAACTGCCCATGTAAATGTGTGTTTATTTCTGAGCTGTCAATTCTATTCCATTAGTCTATGTGTCTATTTTTATTCTAATACCATACTAGTTCTTACTTTTATTAGAGAAATAACATAGGGGGTAAATGCATATTTTTTTGAGATAGTGTTTTTTTTCCTTTGGGTGTATACCCAGAAGTGGAGTTGCTAAATCAAAGATTTATTTATTTATGCATATAAGAGCTGGGGCACAGGCCAGAGATGCAGGGGGTGAGAAGATCCACCAGAGACAGAGTGGGGAACAGAACAGGCAGATTGACTGAAATACACTGCTGAGGGGAGCAGCGGACAAGACAGGAGAGGTCTGCCTCGCCATGTGCGTTTCTCCCAAGTTTGTCTTTTTTCTACTGAGTTGTATATATTCTTTCTATATTCTGGATGTTAACACCGAGTTATATTGTATTTTATAAATTCCATTATGGTGGGATTTGGGATTGTTACTAAATTTTTGCTATTGTAAGTAATACTGTAGTAATCATCTTTGCAAGCAACTATGTTTAACTTTCTGGTATTTTTGTCAGGATATGTCATCAAAGGAAATTTATCTTATCAAATAGTAGGCATTTTACAGCTCCTACTATATAATGCCCATGTGCCTTCCAAAGTGTCTTTACCTATTTGTTCTTCACCAGCTGTAAGTTATTTTTAAGGGAAGACTGTCAACCCCCTATCTTTCTCAATTTATCATTTTAATTTTGCAAAGAGGGGATTTTAAATAAAAGGCATTATTTTTAAAAAGTCTCTTAGGCAGAGAAGAAAATAAGTGAAGTAACTATAGAGAAAAGTTGACGATCAGTGCTGCAGTGTAAAGGAGAGCTTCAGTTATATTTCCCTGATAAAGTGTAATAGGGATAAGAAGTCGGGGGATAAGGGAAACTAACTGTACCCAACTCTGAGACCTCTGAGGAACAGACGGTCCCTGAGGTCCACTCCAGCCCCACATTCCATCGCTGTGTCTAGATAGACAAGATTCCATAATTGTCTCTAGATAGACAGGAAAACAACAAGGATATAGTCCTTAAGTGGTTTACCAGTTCCTTCAAATAATAGCAGACTTTGAATAGAGCCCATTCATCTTAACTTCTTTTTCTGCTTAAAATTAACCTCTCAGCGCTGTTCTCATCCTTCTTCCCACTTACATCCTCTGAGCCATGCAGATTCTGTTGGACTCATCTCCCCTAAAGGACCGCTACCCCAAACTATCAAATCTCTGTCAGGAATGAGACTTCACCCTCTGGGATTTGGGATAAAGGTTTGGGATTGATTCTTTGCCAGCCCTTGAGCATTTGACAAGCTTAGTAAGAGCAGCTTCTCTGTTTCCCTCAGAATCGGTGATAAGATTTTAAGAACCTCAGTGCTGCATTTGTTTTCCATCAAGAGAGGGTAGCACTTAATGTACGGAGATTAGTTGCCTGGGGAGAGGAGAGCAAATGAGGCAAAAAGCAACCAGGAGAATAAAAAAAAAATTTAATACATTTATGTCATGTGGTCTTCACTATATAGTAACTCTCTCCATGTCTCTTTCAGGTGGCCTTAATTTGAACCCCTTAAAGTTTCTGGTCTTTGACTGGAACTGGAGAGATCAGAAGTTGAGGAGGATGATGGACATTCCCGAGGTACTATGTAATCATCAATTGACTTTAATCTTTTTTTTTTTCAACTTGAACTTGAGTTCAAACACACTAAAAAAGTCTTTGACATGGGGAGCCAGCACATTCTGGCCTTTGAAATGATTTCTTTCTTTCAACTCTGAAGTAACTACAATTATAGAGACCATCTCACCTCTTACATGTAACTGTATACTTTCCATGTGTTTCATGGGAATAGATTTTGTTTCCTCATTAAATGCCCAGTGACCTCTGCCCCCCTGGGACCGCAACTATTCTGTACCTTTAAGAAACAGGGCAGTTGAGAGGACTTGGCATATTTGCTTGTAACTTGCTTTAGAGACGTGGAGACATGGTAATCTTTGTCATTCATCCTTATAAGTGTATGGGGGGGGCGGCGCATGTGGGACAAACTTGCCTCATGCCCTCATCTCCACCTCCTCCCCTTACTTACTTTATGGTCTATTTTGGATTTTGTGGGTAGGGAAACTTTTAATGTCTCAGTGAATTAAAACTGATCTTAATCAATTTTGAATGCTTTTGTGGGCCCACCATTAACTCATTATTTATGAAAGTAATCCATTACTATCATAATGTGAAAAATTATTTGCCACCTACCTTGTTATAATGGGGCTAATTTTTCAATTTAACCTGCTGCTTACAAGTTGTTGTTGGCGAGAAAAGGGTTTGTGCAGCAATAAACATGGTTGGCACACTAACCAGGAATGAATCATGGCAGCAACTATCAAAGAAACTTGTAATTACTCCTGCAAACATGCTGAATGAATTAATTTACCATTAAAACCATATCCCCAGAATGACCATACTGATTATAAATGATTGATAAATTATATCAGAAATCAGTTCAGGTTATATGACAATTTTTTCGAAATGCACATGTGCGCACACACACACACACCCTGTCTACACCTTGAACCAATTGGTTTTTTAAAACTGATTTAATGAATTTGATGTCAGACACATAAGCCCATACTTGGTAATAAGAAAAAGAAATAGGGGAGGAGGAGGGAGAGGGATCAAAATAAGGGCTGGAAGAGCTCAAGGGACTATGGTAATGATGCATGGGTGAAGTAAAATTTATATAAATAAATGAACTATTTTTAAAAAAGAAAAAGAAATAATGTCTAAATACCCTTGTTATTACCCATGATGATTTTTATTAGTTTATCATCATTAGCAGTTATTATAAATATTGTGTATAATCTAAGCACATTTTGGATATCTTTAAATACCTTTATATAAGATTTTATGAGATTTTATCTTAAATGACTACAAAGGACACCTTAATGAAACTGATTTTTTTATAGTATCTCTTTTTTTACATATATATTTCACTCTGAATTACATGTGCATGAGGAATTTATTCCCTCCCTGACTCTGGCCAAAACAGTCACATAAAGGAGTCCAGACGGTTCAATTTATTCACCATGGCCATCTTTTCTTGATCTTAACCTTGTTTTCTCTTCTCTCATTTAGATAAGAAAGGAGGTTTTTGAACTTCTGGAAATAGGAGTCCTTGGTCTGTGCAAGTCAGAATCTTTGAAGCTGGGCCTTTTCTAAGACTGAATCCTAATGAAAATTCCAGTTTTCATGGTGGGATTTGCATTTCCTTTAATGACTCTGGCACATTGCAAGTAGTCAGTTAATATCAGCTATTGTTTTATTGTTAACTGCATCACCAGATGGAGCATTGGAAATGTTTGCTAGAGATTATTTGACAAAATTGAATCTGTCCTTTGCCAACTTCCATGTATAATAAAGTATCACTGGCTTGTGTACTTTTGGTTGAGCAGAATAAGTTTTCTCCCACCAACTAGCGTCTGATGTGACGTGCAGAAGAAGGGAAAGAACTGCAGGGTAAACTTAGGCAAACTCCTTCCCCTCCTAAGCCTCAGTTTTATCAGCCTGTGAAATGGGAATGATATCTCACAGGACGGTCATACTCAGTGTGGTGGTACATGGGGATAGATTTGTAAACTGTGAAACCTGATCCCAGTGAGAAGGGTGGCAGTGTTAGTGACAAAGAATTGTAAGGGTATGTGGTACTTTGTTAATGTATAAAATATAACACAATAACTACAACTGTCTTTTTTAACCTTTTACTTTGAAATAGTTCAGACTTACGAAAAAGTTGCAAAAATAGTATAGAGAATTACCATATCCCCTTCTTCCAGTTTCCCCAATGTTATGTGAAGATACCATATTTACCCAAACTACAAAATCAATGTTTTGATTCATTACAATTAACTACAGACTTTATTTGGATTTCACCAGTCTTTTCACTGACATCCTTTTTCTTTCTTTTTTTTTTTTTTAAGATTTATTTATTTATTTATCCATTCATTCATTTATTTAATTATACAAGTACTGGGTACAGTCAGAAGTGCGGGAGGGTGAGAGAATTCACCAGAGCCAGAGCCGGGAGCAGAGCAGGCAGAAGGACCGAAGTACACTGCTGAGGGGAGCAGCGGGCAGCAGGAGAGGTCCTCGCGCCATGTGGGACCCTCCTCTGGTGGCTGGGGAGCAGCCGGGGATCGAACCGGCGCTGCAGAGTCTGCAGGCAGCTTCGTAACCCAGCGCTCAACCGCTGCGCCACCGGGGAGGCCCTGACATCCTTTTTCTATTTCAAGATCCAGTCAAAGATCCAACATTGTATGTCATTATCACAAATTCCTAGTTTCCTTGGATTGGTGACAATTCACCATCCTATCTTTACCTTTCATGACCTTGAGGCTTTTAAGGAATACCGGAGAGATAGTTTGTAGAATATACCTCAATTTGAGTTACTATTGGTATCTCATGATTTGATTAAGGTTTTCCATTTTTTAGTCAGAAAACCAATAATACTGGGTTATAACACATAGAACAAAGTAAATATCCATATTTAGTCAGAAGTGAGATGTCCTTGATATGTCACATGGGGTATACAATATGATGTGCCTTATTACTAATGATGTCAACCCTAATCCCCAGCTTATAGTGGCTTTGCCAATTTTTTCCACTGTAGATTTGCTATTTTTCCCTTTGTAGCTAAATGTCTATATTAATGCTTTGGAACTATGCAAATATCCTGTTCTTCCTGATAATTTGCCCACTAATTTTAAAAATGTTGGTTGTTCTTGCCTACAACAGTTATTACTGTAATGATTTTTCTTTTCTCTCATTGCATGAGCATTTGTTAATGGGAATTCTTCTTTCAAAAATAATTTTCCTGTTACATGTTTTTTTCAATTATTTATTTATGTCAATATGAACTCATGGATATTTATTTTGTTCTATGTGTTATAATCCAATACTATTGGTTTTTATTTTGGTGCTCAAATTCACTTACTTTTTTCCTAATGTAAATAATGTTTATTGATTACCCCTTCTGTGTCAAGTATTGTGTTTAGGGCTTTCATTTACATATAGTTTTATCATGTTTAATCACTAAAAAGGTTCTGAATCAAAAGTGTTATTCACATTTTATAAATGATGTAACTGAATATAAGAAGGGACACGCACTAATGTGTAGTAAAACCAGAAATCAAACCCAGGTCTCCTGTATTCACTTCAGGACAGACACCATGGTTGTCTGTTTCAGAACTCAGACATATAAAACGAATAAGAGGTGGGCCTCCCCAGTGGCGCAGCGGTTGAGCGCTGGGTTGCGAAGCTGCCCACGGCCTCTGCGGCGCCGGTTCGATCCCCGGCTGCTCCCCGGCCACCGGAGGAGGGTCCCACATGGCGCGCAGACCTCTCCTGCCGCCCGCTGCTCCCCTCAGCAGTGTATTTCGGTCCTTCTGCCTGCTCTGCTCCCCGCTCTGGCTCTGGTGAATTCTCTCACCCTCCCGCGCTTCTGACTGTTACCCAGTGCTTGTATAAATAAATAAATAAATCTTTAAAAAAAATAAAATAAAATAAAACGAATAAGAGGTAATAAAGCAAACAGATGCTCATATTGGTATGTAAAATTCCATATTTGAATATTATGAAGTTTTAAATGAGCCTGGAAGTCTTGTAAATACAATCCCAGTAATCACACACTTCTGCACACAAGTGACTTTACCAGCAATTTGTTGATTGTGCACCTCTGTGGGCAAGAAGCCACACACAGGGACTCGAAGGAAAGAGGAACAACTTCCATTCTCAGAATCTTGGTAAGTCCAACAAGTTAGAGGAAAAATATTTTATTTATTTTTATAAGTGAGTAGTGTTCCATTGTGTATATGTAGCATATCTTTATCCAATCATCTGTTGATGGGCCCCAGGTTGTTTCTAGTTCTCTACTGTTGTCAATAATGCTGGAGTATATATGGGGGTGCCAATTCTTCAATTCTTTTTTTTTCTTTTTTTTTTTTTTTGCATTTTTCTGGTAAATACCCAGAAACAAGGTAACTGGAGTATATGGAATTTCTTCATATTGTTTTTCATAATGGCTACCCCAACTCACATACCCACCAACAGTGTACAAAGGCTCCCTTCTCTCCACTTCCTTGCCAGCACTTGTTTTGATTTGCATTTCCCTAATAATAAGAGATGATAAACATTTTCATACCTGCTTCTTGGCTATCTGTATTTCTTCTTTTGAGAAGTATCTGATCATCTGCCCATTTTTTTAAAGTTGTCTTTTTATTGTTCTTGAATTTTATGAATTCTTTATGTATTTTGGATAATAATCCCTTGTCAGATATATGATGTCTTTTGTTTTGACCATAGTTTCTTTCGCTGCATAAAAACTTTTAGTATGATGTGGTCCCAATTGTTTCTTTTTACTTTTGTTACCTTTGCCTTTGGTGTCAAGTCTCCAAATACATCTTTAAGACCAATGTCAAGTAGCATAACACCTGTTTTCTGCTATGTATTTTGTGGTTTCAGGTATCTACATCCAAGTCTTTAATCCATTTTAAATTAATTTTTATGCGTGTTGGTAGATAGTTGTCTAGTTTTATTCCTTTGCATGTGGCCATCCAGTTTTCCCAGCACCATTTTTTTTTAAGTTTTATTTATTTATTTATACAAACACTGGGTACAGTCAGAAGTGCTCAAGGTGAGAGCATTCACCAGAGCAAGAGCAGGGAACAGAACAGGCACACTGATGAAATACACTGCTGAGGGGAGCAAAGGGCGCGGCAGGAGAGGTCTGTGCGCCATATGGAACCCTCACTGGCGGCCGGGGATTGAACCGGTGCTGCAGAGGCTGTGGGCAGCTTTGCAGCCCAGCACTCAACCGCTGCGCCACCAGGGAGGCCCCCCAGCACTATTTATTGAAGGTACTTTTCTTTCTTTATATGTTCTTGGCTCCTCTTGTAAATTAGTTGTTCATATATGTATGTGTTCATATATTTATGGGATTACTTCTGGGCTCTCAATTCTGTTATGTTGGTCTGTTTCCATTCCCACATCATGATACTTGGATTATTATGATTTTGCACTATAGTTTTAGGTCTGGAAATATGATATCACCTTTTTTGATTCTCTCTCTTTGCTATTTAGGGTCTTTTGTAGTTCCAAATAAATTTCATGGTTTTTCATTCTATTTCTGTAAAGATTGCCATTGCACTTTTGATAGGGATTGGCTGAATCTGTGTATTGCTTCAGGCAATATCACTATTTTAATGATTTTAATTCCTCTAATTCACGCATAAATATAACTCCATTTATATGTGTGCCCATGTATGTGTTCTGTTTTTTTTAACAAGGTCTTAATAGTTTTCTGCGTACAGGTATTTCACCTCTTTGGTTAAATTTATTCCATGGTTTATAATTCTTTTTGATACAATTTTAAATGATGGTTTCTCCTGATTCCTTTCTGCTAGTTTATTATTTGCATATAAAAATGCAGTATATTTTTGTATATTTGTTTTGAATCTGCCACTTTGATGTATTAATTATTTCTAATATCTTTGTATTGGATTACTTGAGATTTTCTATGTACGTTATCACGTCATCTGCAAAAAGTAACAGTTTACTTAATTTCCAGCTTGTATACTTTTTCATTTTCTTGTCTATTGCTCTGTCTAGGACTTCAAACATTATATTGAATAGTAGTGTTGAGAGAGTGGACATCCTTTCCTTATTCCTGACCTTAGAGGAAAAGCTTTCAGTTTTTTATCATTTTCCTTTTATCATTATCAATATGATGTTAGCTGTGGGTTTGTTTTATATATGGCCCTTGTTATATTGAGGTATAATCCTTATATATCTATTTAATTAAGGGTTTACATCATAAATGGATGCTGAATCTTGTTTATATGGTTTTTCTGCATCCGTTGAGATGATCATGGTTTTTGGCCTGCCTTGTGTTGATAGATCATGTTTTTTAAATTTGTGTATCTTGAACCATCCATCCTTCTTAATCATGATGTGTGGTTCTTTTTGGTGTGTTGTTACACATGGTTAGTTACCATTTTGTTGAGGATTTTTGCATCTATGTTCATCAGCAATATTAGTCTATAATTTTCTTTTTGTGTGTGATGTCCTTGTCTAGTTTGGAAGCAGGGTAATGTTGGCTTCATAAAGTGTGTTTGTTAGTTTCCCCTCCTTTTCAATTTTTTTGAAAGCAGTTGAGAAGGGTAGATATCAGTTCTTCTTTGAAAGTTTGATAGAATTCACTATAAAAGCCATCTGATCCCAGGCTTTTGTTTTTGGGTGGCTTTTGATTACTGTTTCAAATTCCTTATTCATGATCAAGCTATCCAAATTTTCCTCTTTCCCCCCCTGATTAATTCTTGGGATGGTGTGTGATTTTTTTTTTTAATTTTTCCATTTCTTCTAGATTGTCCAATTTATTGCCATA